ATTAATGAGGAAAAAAAATTAACTTAAATGATTTTAGCAAATGGCTGCAATATAACAAAGAGTGAAAAATTTAAGGGGGTCTGAATACTTTCCGTACCCATTGTATATAAAGAATGCAGAATATTGTGACTAAAACTATATGTAAAAAAAGTGTAATAGTCAATGTTTTTGAGGCCTTGAAAAACTCTTAAACATTTTCTAACTTAAGTAAACAGTCATAGTAGCAGTTATGAAAAGCATATCACAGGAATCTACTTTTGTTTTTGGAAATATTTTATAAGCTTTAAACTTATTCATAACAGAGTCCAAAATTAACACTTAAAAAGGACTTGCTTGAAGCAATTTCAATTTCTGTTTTCTTAATATATATAGCTGCTTGCTTTACTAAGGAACTTATTGCGTTATTGTGGCATGGCTTTGCAGGGGCAGGCACCTCATCTAGAGGCATGTGTTAGGGGAGTCTTCGCATGTTTGTGTGTATGAGATGTGTCAGCAAAGCTCCTCTGCTGGTGTGTGTGTGTGTGTGTGTGTGTGTGTGACAGATGCGGTTAGGTCTCACAGGTCTGGGGTCGGGTGGGGGGGTCACGGCTGAACGCGCCCATCTGCTGCAGCTGGCCAGGAGGAGCTGGGGGAGAAGGAAAGAGAGAGAGAGATGCTCAGGTCATTAACAATGTGTGCTGGAAGTGGTTGGCTGCACACAACAGCTGGTGTCAAAGACTGGCCCAGTCTAGCAGAGATAATCAAATCTTCCTAATCTCCCACCATTTAACTCTCTCTTTCACACACTCTCAGCTCCCTCACTGCACTCGTGATGCTTTGTGGTGGTAGTTGTTTACTGTAAAGTAAACTTTACAGTCATAAAATAAACATGGACAAGGGGTGAGTTGCTTCACATCCCATTCTGCCGATCATGTCCACCTGTTAAAGAGACATAAATGCCCCAAAAACGGAAGTTAGTCTCTATAGTGGCACTTTAGTGGGTAATGAACTAAGCAGGCAAGGCATATATTGTTACTATTTAGTGTTATTGTTGGAAAAATTCCTTCAGCAAAACAAAATGTAATGTAATGAAACCTCATCCCTTCTACAAGGGATGGCTGTGCGAGCTGCTTCGCTGGAAAGAGAGTCCCAGCCCGGAGAACAGGACTCTCTGGGAGAACCTGTGTACTATCCGGAGGTTTCTGAGCCTTCCACAAGCGGACAGGGATCTGGTGTATGAGGAAGAGTCCCGCCATCACCACAGTGAACGGCTGCACACTGTACTACACTTGCCCACTGACCCTCAGGTGAGTTTATGAAAAATCAAATTGCATACTTACATATTGCATACAAAAATGTGTGGCAAAAGAAAGCAATTTAATGTGACGTTTGAACTGCATGATGGTCATATTATGAGAAATTAAATGTTCCTTGATTCCTCCCGCTCCAGAAAGACCAATTATTAAATGTTTGTTTTTACCTTCTATAACTTTCTGTTGTCAGGCAGATAAATAAATGAACACAATTTATATGCCCACATTTATATGTCAAAAACAGTGTTCAGAAAATTCACTTTTCCGCATGTTTTTATGATTCTAACAAAGTGTCAAGCAGGATTTGCATAGAGTTTGTTCCTCAAGTTGTTCCAAACCTGTACAAGCTTTTTTCTTCTGTTGAATACAAAAGAAGATATTTTGAAGAATGTTGGTGACCAAACAGTTGACGGAAGCCATTGACATCCATAATATAGAAAAAAAAAAATACTATGGAAGTCAATGGCTATTGGCTACAGTCAACTGTTTGCTCACCAACATTCTTCAAAATGTCTTCTTTTGTATTCAACAGAAGAAAAAAGCTTGTACAGGTTTGGAACAAGTGGAGGGTGAGTAAATGACGACAGGATTTACATTTTTGAGTGAACTATCCCTTTAAAGGCACAGCATTAAAAAAGGCCCTGTTAAACACAAAGACGGTTGACTCCGATCAAGAATGGTCCAGTAAAATGTAATTTACTTATTTATTTCTATTTCTGTTTTTGTCCATTAAAAAAGGTCTGTTTAATTATAAGAGAGAGGGTGTTTTTGTACAAGAAACCTTGATTAACATTAAAAGTAAAAATGTATAATTTGAAAAAGACTTAAAGGGAAGAGGAAAGAGGAAAGAACGATTTTGAGTTCTGCTTAAATGTTTTAAGCATAATTCTCTTTAGATCATATAAATGTGTTCATTGTGTACACTTCTTTGAGGCTTCAGGTTTAATATCAGCATTATTCATGCAGCATTCCTGCCAACATCTAATAACCCAGCACACCCCAACCTCTTTAATCTCACACACACACACACACACACACACACACACAGAATTCCAAATAACATGCTACTGATTAAATGGACTTTCCCCTATGCTAGCCAGGGTCATTATAGTGAAGACTGTGGACAAACACTTTACCAGTATTAACATAGACATGCATTCATACAGAGTACGCACATACATCTACACCCTAATACTTATATGTAAATACTTGCACACACAAACGGCATACACATAAATCTACAAACACTTGGATCAATGCTTTCCACCTTCTTTTAACCTACTCTTCTTTCTCACCCTGCCAGTAAAGCATTGTGGTTTAATTCACTCACAATGATTGCTGTTTATTAACATTTATTAACTTAAGTTGAGCAGCCGTTTTAAGATTAAGTACTAACAAATGGAGACAGAATGGCTTTCTGTTACTGTCTTAGCCCATTACGTCTCTTTCTCTCTTGCTCGCTTTCTCTTTTATGTCAGTGGAATAAACAGTCTGTTGGCAGCATGTGTGTGTGTAAATATACTCATTTATGTGTTTTGGGCGCAGAAGGAAATGCCCCATTAGGACACACCCTGACAGACAGTGCCACCACAGCCCTGATATTAATAATTACGGGAAGAGAAGGAACACACACACAGACACACATATATATACACATACACACACGCGTAATGACTCAAGGGATTTCACTACAGTAAGTCTCTTTAGTAACTCCACACAGCTTTGACCATGAACTCTTGCGCAATATTGATCATAAAATATGTTGAGGATAGTCAGTGCATTTACTAAAGCACAATGTTGCTAAAAGTATCTGTACCAGGCACTTTTTCTATTATTTATATATTTATTTATGTATTTATTTATTTGTATTATGTATATATCATACAGGGCACATATTGTTGTATTTATATTCATACTGTTATCTTTATTTGAAAAAAATATTAATGTAATATTAAATTATAACATTATAATATACATTTTTTTTTTAATTTTATGTTTTTTATGTGATGCAATATTTTGGTGCTTTTTGAGACTTTTATTGACAGTGAATGTAGACTCAGAATTAGTGTCCTGCGTTCTTTTTTTTTTTCTTTTCTTTTTTTTTTTTTTTGTAGTAGTAGAAGTAGTAGTAATGAGGGTCCCTCCTCATAACAAAATACCCAGCAGCCCCCTTGGTTCCAGCCTGCCTGCCACCACAGCACATGCGTCCCAGCTGCTTATGCAGACATGAGCATGTTAATGAATGAACACACATGCGGCACATACATGTATACGGTTTATTTAGCAGATACCACCTCAGTGTGACCAACAGAATTCACTGATGTATTTACTTAACCCTTATAAGATCATCAAACATCACTCAATAATCCAGAACAAGTCCTCCTCTGGTTTTAACCATGAAATTCTGTAACATTCACGTGTCAAACAAAATAAAACGTGATTTGTGTGCTCTCATAAGAGCAGTAAGACAATTTTTATAATATTAAAAGTGTATCTTGTCATTACCCATTTAGAATAGATTTTGACCTGAAGAGAAGACATTCAATTTATATTTATTTGTATAGAGCATAAATAATGAACATAAATATTGTTCTAAAGTTTTATAGAGAATATTTGATTTTTGTAAAAAAAAAAAAAAAAAGTTATTGCCATTTCAAATTCTCTTTTAAGCACTCCATGACAGGTCCATGTGAGCCCCTGAGTGCAGCTCGCCCCACCTTAGGGATACACTCACACTAACACACTCTACATGTAGATGGCTGACCTGGTCCCACGTCGTCTTCACGCTGTTTCTGCAGTGCGTGTGTATGGTCTTAAGTGCCTCCCTTTGCTCATTTGGCAAGACATTTCTTATGAATAATTTCGCCTTTGTTTTTGTGAAATTGGATGCTGCAGTGTGCACTGGAGTGCCCTCTAGACCCTGCCATGTGGATTGGGACCCCGATTGAGTGCTGGGGTAGGAGGAGTAAGATAATTGTAAGATAAAGTCACAATTATGAAAAACAGTCACAATTGTGCAATTTAAAGTTACATTGGGAGATGTCACATTTGCTAAAAAAAAAAATGTCAATTTTGAGATCAAATTAAATTATAATTTTTTTCTTTGAGGCAGTAACAGACTTACATACTAGGAATAGTGAGTAATGCATGAGTACATTTTTTTTTATTTTGTGGATTGCCTAAACTCTACACATTCCCCCCAAAATATCAAAACATGCACGTACATGACTCACCCATTCCTGAGGTATTGCAATGTGGTGAAGAAAAATTATGATGCACATGATAATTGGAGAAGGTGAAGTCATGCACAAGCAAACCAACAGAAAAGTGTCTTTCTCATCATTACATATTTATCTGCCTGTTAATGCACTCCAGTGGCAACACAGCCCCTTTTAATCCTGCCTCCATCCCCATGAGGGCCGGTCCTCATTAAGAATCAACTGAATTTTTTATGTTCTATAATTCTTTCATACTTCTTCACCATAATTTGCCTTAATTTGTGTTTAAAGGGGAAAAAAGATACGTTTTCTTAATGCAGTGAACTCACAGACCCGCCCCAGCTTAGAATTAGAAAAGAAGCGATGGAGATGAATTTTGAAAAAAGTAAGGCGTGCAGGGAAAAATGGCCCTGTGTCCAAATGTGACTCTTGTGGTTGAGAAGACGTTGTTTAAGAACTGAGTAGGTGAATGATTTGGATGGTGGAGGAAATCGGAGGTTGGCTTTATAGCTAAAGCAGGGTTTTGAAATGGAGTCACTCCTCTGGCTTGGCAGAAAAGCTCTTCATTAACATCAACCATTAGAGCACAGGAACAGGCATCTTAGACTCTTTACTCTGAATTGGCTGCTGGAGGACTCACTCCGTCTCTGAATTTGAAAATATCTGATAGGATGCCAAAACAATGGTATGTACCGTAAGTGCGCAAAGTCGTTATTTAATGTTTGTGGTGTGCATTTTGGATTGTACTCTATATATGTCTTTGGAACTTACCTAAATTGTTCCCAGAATTTTATAAAATAATATAAACAACAAGCAAACATATACAGGATAAATGGGTTTGTGAATGTGTGTGTGGTCTCTTTAGCTAAGCTAACAGGTATTTTGCACTGTTATGCCTTGTGGTCAATCTAGTTATTCAACATCTTCAAACTTCTTTGACATTTCTTTTTCTCATCCTTTCTTGTGGCATCTGTTTGTTTCTCTGAGACATGGAAAGTAATACATTATGGAGAAATAGAGAAGAAAAAGAATAAACCTACACACTTCCTGTAAAGCGCCAGCTCAAAACAGCCCCCACAAGTGAAATCGGAGCAATTTCATGGTCTGGCCTGCCCTCAAAATTATTTTAAAAATACCCTGTTATTATTTAGGGAATAGAGAGAGAGCAGGAGAGAGACAGAGAGAGAGAGGCGCATGACTATTATCTTTATGTAGGTCCTTTAATTTTAATGCACCGCAGAGAAAAATGGCCCTGTGTCCAAATGTGACTCTTGTGGTTGAGAAGACGTTGTTTAAGAACTGAGTAGGTGAATGATTTGGATGGTGGAGGAAATCGGAGGTTGGCTTTATAGCTAAAGCAGGGTTTTGAAATGGAGTCACTCCTCTGGCTTGGCAGAAAAGCTCTTCATTAACATCAACCATTAGAGCACAGGAACAGGCATCTTAGACTCTTTACTCTGAATAGGCTTTTGGAGGACTCACTCCATCTCTGAATTTGAAAATATCTGATAGGATGCCAAAACAATGGTATGTACCGTAAGTGCGCAAAGTCGTTATTTAATGTTTGTGGTGTGCATTTTGGATTGTACTCTATATATGTCTTTGGAACTTACCTAAATTGTTCCCAGAATTTTATAAAATAATATAAACAACAAGCAAACATATACAGGATAAATGGGTTTGTGAATGTGTGTGTGGTCTCTTTAGCTAAGCTAACAGGTATTTTGCACTGTTATGCCTTGTGGTCAATCTAGTTATTCAACATCTTCAAACTTCTTTGACATTTCTTTTTCTCATCCTTTCTTGTGGCATCTGTTTGTTTCTCTGAGACATGGAAAGTAATACATTATGGAGAAATAGAGAAGAAAAAGAATAAACCTACACACTTCCTGTAAAGCGCCAGCTCAAAACAGCCCCCACAAGTGAAATCGGAGCAATTTCATGGTCTGGCCTGCCCTCAAAATTATTTTAAAAATACCCTGTTATTATTTAGGGAATAGAGAGAGAGCAGGAGAGAGACAGAGAGAGAGAGGCGCATGACTATTATCTTTATGTAGGTCCTTTAATTTTAATGCACCGCAGATTTATAGCTTAGCATTCCAGTGTGGAGGCACTGGGCACCCCACCCTAGTCATAAACTCAGCAGGACAGCGCCACAGACTTCGATAGCTCAGCTGTGACACACTGCACCTTCTTTTGTATCAAAGCTTTCTAGATACATATTTTTCACTCTTACTAAATATCTGATATTTACTTCTAATCCTATTTTACCACTATTTTATACTCTGTCCCCCAATCCCCCTTCACTCCTTCCCCTTATTCCTGTTTTGGCGCCCACAGTAGAAAAAAAATGGCAGATTTATTGAGAAACATATGGAGGGTCTGAGAACCTCTGTAAAAAAACAATAGTGTAGCTCTGTTAGTCTGCTATCTTGTTGGAAAATGCTAATGATTATACTGTTTTTGTATAAGACAATAGCATATGAAAACAATCTCACATCTCATGTCAAAGTCAAAAGTGTAATTTTTTGCTGTCTGTGTTTTTGCATTACTTTTACTGTTAAATTTAGCAGTCACTAGTCTGTGCTAACAGGGATGGAATTTATCCCTGTCAAAATGACAGATGAAACCAACTTGCCACTATACTTCAAATGGTTGTTTCAAAACATATCTCTTCATAACAGATTCTTTTGATGTAATTTATTTTGGTTTTGGTGTGTATTTGTTCAGCTTCTTCCTCTGTTGAATTTCATGTGGTTGATCTGTCAACTCAGATGCTGTTAGTTGCCTTGATGGTCTCAAAACATGATGCAATGACAAGATATTTAATCTTGTGGAATTATGTGTACAATATACATAGTTAAACAATCATAGTCTGGAGCAGTCTGGTTGGATTTTTATGTGAGTTGATCACATACTCAAGTGCATAGAGGACATTAGCTCCAAGAGACATTCATTAAAAAGACACTTTGAACTTTTAAGCAGTTTTTCAATTATTCCATACTGCTGACGCTTGTTTATAAGTTTAGGAAAGAGATCACTCTGGCCCAACTAATAACTTTTCAACTTTCTTACCAGGCACTTCACAGACTGCCCATGCAGCCACTGAAGGACCACTCTCCCATCCGAGAAGAACCTGTTCCCAGTTCTGGAGCCGAAGAGAACCCTCAGGCAAATGCAGGTTCAGGCAACAGCGGGGGGGATTGCAACATCACAAAAAAACCTCGCTCACGCACCAAGATCTCTCTGGAGGCTCTAGGCATCTTACAGAGCTTTATCCAAGATGTGGGCCTCTACCCTGACCAGGAAGCAATCCACACCCTTTCAGCCCAATTAGATCTGCCCAAACACACCATTGTTAAGTTCTTCCAGAATCAGCGTTATCATGTGAAGCATCATGGCCGACTAAAGGAGCTCGGATCTGAGGGCGGCGGTGTAGACGTAGCTGAATATCATGATGAGGAGCTGCTCTCCAGTTCAGAGGATGCGGAATCCAGTGAAGATGGCCATGAAGAGATCTACAGTGGGCATGAAAGCACACCAGCCGGAGCAGCCAACTCTATCCCAACTCCAGCTGTTTCTTCAGGCCAGGATGAGAATAAAGACAAAGGCCTGCCCCCATGTGGTTCATCCCCAAGTCCCCGAGATCAAGCAGAATATCAGAGATAAAACAGTCTCAACAGAGACTATACTGTAGGTGGGGAAAGGCAAGGAGTGAGCACATACAACTATTCTGTAGTGGATGAGAGAGTGTTGCGGACAGCTTAGAAACTTTCTGACAAAGACACAGTGTCCTCTGAGGACCCGTAAAAGGCAAACCAAACCAGACAAGATCTGCATTTTGATTAAGTTTTGGTGAAGAAAAATAAGTTGTGATCTACTCCTGGCCTCATACCTCACAAGTTACTTACAGGGGTGGCATGGTACGGAAGCAATCCCTACGGCATACTACAAGGAAAGAATTTGTTTGGCTGGGAAGCATTTATTTTCTAGATGTAAATCATCAAATTAAGGCAAGATAGCTGCCTCAACCCCAAGATGTCACAAGCATTCAAACTTGCATGATAAGAATGTCAAGAAGGCCAGTCTTTGTGTTTCATTTCTAATCTGAGAGCAGGGGGTCTCTCGCAAAATACCACTATCCATGCTCCCTCTTTATCTCTACAGGGTTAAAATGGCAGGGACAGTGCTTTAGATGAGCCAATGATCTCCTATAGGACACCAACAACATCACTCCTGTTCGATCAGGGAGCCTAGTGGGCGGCTATGGCTGTCCTCATCTTCCCCTCCATGATGGGGCATTGCTTGACTGCTAAAGCGGTCGGTTGGGTTGGAGGTACAGATGAGATCTTGGGTGTACACATCAGCCAAGCCCAGGATCCCTACTATAAACACATGTGGTGTGCTGAAAGGTCCACAGTTAGCCCAGTGGCGCTTTTGAAGACTACGCCATCCTTCCCACAACCAGCCACAACCGTCATTCCAAGCAGTCCCACACAGTTCAAGAAATCACTCTTTTACCCCCACCACCCATGCACACCCAATACAGACTGTGCAATCAGTCACTCCTGTCCAGTGGTTGAAGGTTTGCTTTATACAGATATGTTTAGACCGTAGGTTTCATTCCAGTTTTGCTCTCTCTACATTTAAAAGACAGTGAGAATAAAACATAATTGGCAGGAGGACTGACTGCTATGGACAGAAGGACAACGGTGAGGGTGCAGTCTAACTGCATCTGCCTCTGGCCTAGTGGAGAAGAGCAAACCATTTCCAGCAACTGCGCTTGTGTGGAAGTGCGGTAGTTCTTCTCTCTTCCGTCACCTCCCACAGCTTTCTCTTTTACTGACTGATGCCCACAATGTCCTGATTTGACCTCACTTACCCACACCCAACTCCACAGCACTATTTATTGCTATCTTCACCCACAATTATTATTGTTGTTATTGGTATTATTGTTATTATGGTTGTTCTTGCTGTTATTTTTAGTTCTATTTTCATGGTCTAATATCAGCTTTTGGCTTGCAGCAGATGTTTTGGTAATGAGAGACGCGTTGTGAAAGAAAGAAACAGCCAAAACAGAGAGGAATGAATTGAAAGCAGTTACTGAAGTTACTGAGTGAATCATGTGATATATACTGCCAATTCTATCAGCATTATGTACTTTTCCAAAGAGAACAGCACTTGGCAGATGAGATGTTGAATATGAAAACAATAGAAATAAGAGGAATCAGTGGAATTTATATGATCTTTTTGTGCATAAGATGACAATCCTTCTTTTGAGCCAATCAGAACTCAGCAAGCATTCAGATTAAAACTTTGATCAGCGTAACCTGAGGCAACATGGCCACCTGTTTAAAAATGATCAATGACACCGTGGCAACACTTGTATCAAGGGTTCTGATTTGTTTTTGAGAATCAGCTGCTACTTGCTCTTTCACAGATAATAGACAAAATATTGTTGTTAACCTTATGCTAACCCTTAAACTATTTTGTTTCAAACAAGTGATAATTGTGGTCTATGTCCATGTTTTGTTATTACAAATGGAAATGTTTTGTTTAGAATCATTAATGTGCAAAATGCTGATGTGGTTCTTGCAATTACTTTGAACATCCTGACTCTTTCACATAGGCACAGTGTTCACACCTGTACTAATGCATTCCAGCAGAACATTAGTTAAAAATGGGGATACACATACTATATTTTTCTCAGAAGGTTAGATGGCATTCCAATCACAAGGATAAGCTTCTCACTCTGATGTCTGTAAGGTTGAATTGTAAGTATACCACCTTAAGAAGTCATTCTCTAGTACGTTGATCATTTGTCCCTGGTTATGATTTCACTGTGGCCATGCTGCATTTCTCACAGATTTTCAAGTAAAGACCAGACTAAGGCATCAAGGACTACAGCTCTCTAATAAGATGTGCAGGAATGATGTGAATTCACATGCAAATGTGTTGGTGGCAAAAGAGCCTGATGTGCGTTATACCTATAACTGTTGACACTTAGGCAACCTTTGACTATGTTGTGCTTCTCTGCTGCTCACCTCTCCAGAGAGATTGAACTTCTAACCATTTTCTGTCCTATTCACCTATCTGCATCATTGGCTCATTTCAATTTCACTCTTTCTGTTTGTTTGATTGTTACCTGGTCTGCATTTACCCAAATCTGAACTTTAAAATCAATCATAGGTGATTATACAGAACTTATGTACCTCCCTGTCTTTGATCGTAGCCCCCCCTAAAAATTTAAAATTACTGTCAACAACCTTAAAAATCTGTGATTATGTGATTTTTCTTCATGTTCACCGAGAACTGTCTACAGTCTCTCAGGTTATTTCAACCTCTTACTAGTCATTAAAAACCTTTTATGTTAGTTACATTTACGTATCGTCATTCTCTCTAAGTGGTCAAAAACACTTTGTCTCTGTATCTTAAATGGAACAAATGTTAGAAGTTGCTTATCATATGTTGCATTTGATAATGGAAAGAGCTATTGAATCACAATCTACACATCACACAATCTACACTGTGAAATCTTGGATACCTGCAGGTTTTGCAAAAGGTCTTTAATAACACGGTAGTGATTGATTGCTTGATCTACACCTTACTTAAGCCTGTCAATCATTTGCCAATTTTGGAGGCCTGAACCGCCCCTTTCGCTACACTCTGAACATCTTCTCCAAATCCCGCCACCCTGCCGAGTCTAGATCAGCTGGAGACAAGTACTTCTGATGAGTCCGTCCCTATACACCTCCCAAATTATCCTCATAAATGATGAAAGCATGTGCACGCATGTGTCTGTGTGTCCTAGACTGGTGTTGAACCTACCATGGGGGTGGCTTACCACTCAGCGGGTGTGAACAACCGCGCACTTTTTCTCCTCCATCACCTCCTCCTCTCCGTCTTTGTCAGAGTTAGTGGCAAGTGTGACGCCAAGGAGAAACAAAGAAGATTCCAAGAGTCTCTGATGAGCACTAGGTCAAGGTCACTACCCAATTATCCATGTCTTTCATTTTCATTCTTTCTTTTCAGCTCTCTGTACCATCCTCTCTGTTCCCTCATTTTCTCGTTCACCAGGCGGGAAAGTAATCGTTGTCTCCCATGCTGTGGTGTCGAGGTTAAGTGGAAGTGATCATGTCTCCTTGTGGAGAGGCTAGTTCCTTGAGAGGCAGCAGACTCCCGGAGTTGCATGTCTGAGAAGTGTTGTGGTTAAGGCAAAGGCTTGGTTTGACTCTTTAGTTTAGTCATTTGTTTAGTATCTGGTCATCTACAGAGCCACTATAACATTACATTGACTTTCATAGGATTTTAATGGAAAAGCTGAAGGCCTCCAAGGCCACTTTCTTATGTTTGCATACATTATTTAGACAATTAGATTTGGACGACCTGAACTTTATAATTTATCACATAGATATGAAACTTACAGATACACAAGAATGTCCTTAACCAAAAAATAAATAAATAAAAGCATCATAATTATTTTCAATACCCCATGGATTTCTGAGGAAGGATGTTTTTGTTCATCTTGCTAATGCTTTAGTTTATCATACAGTGCCTCTGAACTAAGCACAATGCTCCAGTTCTTTGCTTCGGAGATGACAAAATTAGATGATCTCATAATTTTCATCGTTTTTGTACTCATGAACGCCTACAATGTGAATCAGGATTGCCACTTCTAATTTCCTTGTCAATCGAATGCATTGTCATTATCACTAAGTGATAATTAACTTATGTGCATCATTTGGCTTCTTTGTTTGCATGACAAAGTTTTTTTTTTTTCAAATGCTGTTGTTTAAATAAAGTGCATTCAAGGAAATGGAACTATTGTGTGTGGGTTTGTTCTACCTGCAGACTGTTGACTAAACTGGGTGGTCCGCAAGTCAAATTGCTTTATCCTTAGTCCACATTACGGTACAGAAGTTAAAAGAAAGCTGTGACTAATGCACAATGCTATGTTGTATTGAGCAGAGGGATTAGAAGTGGAGACAAATGAGTGGAAAGAAACAAAATACAGTTTCACTTGTACATTAAAGCAATCAAACCATAATAGGAAAAATGTTACTGGAAATGACAATGTAGCATTTCATGCTTATCCATTTAGGAGAATTTGAATAAATAAATCACTTCATACTGCAATCTAGTGAGTAATATTCCAGAATATTGCTTCAATGTCTATCTGAAGTGTCTCTATAAATCAGACTTGCATAAGTAAATTCCTTAGAATCAGACATTATTCAAAATATCAATTTTGTCCCAACTGAAAACAAACCTGACTTTCATTTCAACACAATAAACAAGAACTACAATGAGGAATAGTTTCCTGCACCAATAATTCCACACCTTATTGCATTTTACAACCTGATTGCTAGAGACGTTTTTGCATTCATTCTATTGTGTGCTCTCTTGGGCTTATTGTGGGTTATGAAATGTACATTTACATACAAGTGATAAACTTTCACTGGCATTAAATCCACTGAATTGCCTCAGCATATATGACAAGTTTTGTTATCATTTATTATTCTGTGCAAAGATAAGAATTGTTTTAATTATGTGAAACCTCATCAGTCCCTTAACCACACGTAGCCCTTGGCACTAAAGCCACCGCTGAACTCAGAGTCCTCTCTCTGGCCACCTGCCAGGCTTCCCTCCTTTCCATGGTTCCCTTCTTG